AAACAGGAATTAATTCCAGGAAGTTCTATGGCTCATGTGATACAGGAGGTCGGACTAGATGATCACAATGATCCCTTCTGGCTTTATAATCTATCAGTCTGTTATTTACATCCCCACCCTTTTTAATGAAGTAATAGAAAACTGTCCCCTCCATAGACTCAAGTTCAAGTATGAAATTGTTCACTAGTGAAATAAGTTTGTTGGCCAGAAATCAGTTCCCCTCAGACAAGTCTTGTGACTGGAGCCAAAGCACTGGGAGTCAGGACTCCTGGGTTCTATTCTTGGCTCTGACACTGACTTGTGGTGGTGTTTAGATGCTGCATGTTATTATTAGAACTGGAAGCACTGGCTGTTGGGAATCTGAAAGGACAGGAAACAGGAAGGAGGGGGGAGGAGTTGAGGAGGCTGGGAGAGTTACAGAGTGTGCAGCTACAGCTTGGTAAAGAGATTTCCACTGTAAATAAAGTTCTGTTGAAGTTTGTTAATACCTTGCCTGGTTGATACAACTTTTTGGCGACGAGGGTGGGATAACGACAGTCAATTGGAGCAGTATCAAAGGGTCCTACAATGTCAATCGCCACTTTTTCCCATGCAAATTTAGGAAGAGGAACAGGCTGTAATGGAGGGGTACATGTCACTGCTGTCTTATCATGCATTTGGCAAGTGACACAGGATTTTATGAGTGCTTCAGTTTGAGAGTCCATCCCTGGCCACCAATACAGATCCCGTAGTCGTTGTTTGGTTCTGACAATTCCTTGATGAGTATCGTGTGCCAGGTGTATGAGTTTTGACTGTAATCCTTCTGGCACAAGTAGCCGGTGTGTACCTCGTAGCACACAGCCATCGAGCAAAGAAAATTCATCCCGAACTCTAAAATAAGGCAGCAAAACTGGGTCAATGTTTTTAGGGTTACTGGGCCATCCCTTTGTCAGAAATTCCCATAATTTTTGTTGAATTGGACACGCTGAACAAGCAGCTTGAAATTGTTCTCTTGTAACTGCAGTAAGGGCACTTGTAATAAGCGCAACTACTAAATCCTCATCCTCCGGTGGACCATCTGGTGAAGCAAAGGCAGGCGAGAAAGGCAATCAGCTACCATATTTTCGTTTCCAGGCTTATATTCCAGTTCATAATTGAAAGAGAGTGGTCTTGCAGACCATCTAGCAATACGATATCCTGCTCTTCCCAGTCCTTTTGTGGTGAGCAACGTCGTCAAAGGGCTGTGGTCTGTGCGCAACTTGAACGTGCGGCCCCACAGGTAAGCCCAGACACAAGCAAGTGCTTCTTTTTCAACTGTAGAATATTTTCTCTCAGCATTACTTAGTGTCCTTGAAGCAAATGCAACAGTCCTCTCTGTGTTGTCCTCATGAAGTTGTGTGAGGACAGCCCCAAGTCCATAATCAGAAGCATCAGTAGTTACAATTGTGGGCAATGCGGGACTGAATAGTGCAAGTACTGGACTACGTACAACCAAGTCTTTCACCCTTTCGAAACTAGCTTGTGCATCCGTTGTCCACACTAAGGTTGAACTTCTCCGTAGTAATTCTCGTAATGGTTCAATGACAGAAGCATAATTGGGAATGAATTTTGCATACCAGGAGGTAAGACCCAAGAAGGAACGTAAGGTTTGCAAATCTGTTGGAGGAGGAGCATTTGAAATTGCTAGGATATGATCTGGATCAGGTTTTAGTCCAGCCTGTGAAATTGTATGCCCCAGAATTGAGGAGGCTGGGAGAGTTACAGAGTGTGCAGCTACAGCTTGGTAAAGAGATTTCCACTGTAAATAAAGTTCTGTTGAAGTTTGTTAATACCTTGCCTGGTTGATACAACTCTTGTATAAACTTGGGCAAGTCATGTAACCTTTCTGCCTCACTTTCCCACTCTGTGAACTATATTAACACATACCCTGATGTTGTCTATGGTTGTGTGTAGTGTTGCAGTGATTGAAGAGAAGTATTTGCTATTGTGATATTCAGTGTTTAAATTCTGTTCTTCGTAAATCCTGTGCCAAAAGTTCCTATTTTCCACGTCCTTCCTCAGCTTCTTTGAGGCATTGTGTATTTTGCTGTAAGTTCCCAACAATGGTATACTTCACATATGGCAGAGATTCCTCTCCCAGCATCCCTGTGTGCTCTCTCTCTCTCCTGTTGTGTATGATGTTAAAGCCAGATTCATATAAAGAAATCTTGCAATGCAATTCCGTGGACTTGTTCCATTCCTTGGCATGACAAAGTATAGGGATGGGAGGGTATTTCATATGTAGCCCTGGGAAAAGAACCCACAAGGACCTGGTCTAGTTCAAATTCTGGTCCTGATTCTATGGACTTTTACACCAGTGTAAATCAGAAGTGTTACGAAAGCCAGTGGAGTTAAACCAGTGTAAAGTTGGTGTGAAAGGGAGAGGAGAACTGAGCCCTGTTTGCATTTCTCTGCCTGTGCCTGATTTCTGTCATTTTCTGGAATCTGTGGCACAGTCAAAGCAACTAACAAGGAAAAGAAAGCAGAAATAGCTTTACATCATTATAGAACCAGCTCTATTTCTCCCCAGGGATTAACACAGGCATCTGAGAAACTGGCTTGTGATTTAATTCAGAACCATTGAGCAGGTGGATGGCACTATGGCTTCTAACAGTATTTCAGTGAGAGGCAGATTCTAGCTAGATACTAACTTGGAATGTTTCCCTGGGGGATGGCCAAGTCGCCCCTATGCTGTCTCGTGCCTGCAGTTCTTCCAGCCGAGAACTACTCTCGACTTCATTGGGCCTCTGGCAGTGTTGGGTAATGAGAGAGCAGAATCTGAGCCCTGGGCTCAGTATCTTGCATGGCAATGCAGAATAGGGACCACTCAAGATATTGGGCCTCGAGAGTGTTGTAGGCCCAGCTAAGCGGTGTGCTGATGTGGTTGGGGAGTGTTCTGAATGTCATCTTGCACCGACACTGCTGAAAATAATGGAGGTTACACTAACTCCAGAGGCTTTGACTCTGCTGGGGGAGGAGGAGAAAGAACTGAAGAGACCACAGGGCGTTGGCTGAAGGAAATGCTCTGCGACTGGTGAATGTGAAGTGTACCATTGTTGGGAACTTACTGCTGGACTGATCAGGCTACGTGTACCACATATTCAGTTGCACTGGCAATTCTTGCACCAAAGGTTCCCGTAATAAGATGTCAACTGATGGAATTTCCCTTCTCATAGTAGGACCCCACTATCCCACAGACTGGGCAAGATATGGCCCACAAAGAAAAGGCCACAGTCAGGATCTACCACCCTAATCTCGGATATGCAGCTCAGCATTTTCGCTTCAGGTCTGGCTGCGATGAGTCAATGCAGACCATGTTGGAGAGAGGAATGGAACAAAATTCCCCATCTGCATTAGAGGAAGGAAGCTGAAAATGAATGATCAGTATGAAATCCTTCACCTGTGCATTAATTTTGTTTTTAGGAATCTCTTCTCAAAGTTTCGCCTCATTGCTGCTTTGCAGCACCTCCAGCTGTTCCAGTCCTGGGTTCACCCACAGTGTAACTGCCGTGCACTGTAACTGCCCTGGCATGGCAGCTGGGTTCCCTGTACATCATATTTTTGGAGTGGGAACTAGGGGTTGTCCCAGCACTTTGCTTTCCATCATGATGCAGCCAAGTTACTCTTCCATCAAGAAGGAGCATGTAGATGAGATCAGAATTACAGCATCAGCTATCAACAATAAATAATGATTGAGTTGGGGTCTCTGACTATCTGCAAGGGGTCTTGTCCAGTGCTGCATCTCCAGGGAGCAATGGGGCATTGAACTGTGCTGCTGAAAACTGGAGCAACAGAGCCCAGCTCTTTAGAACTGGGACGCCTTTGTGCTATCCCTTGGGCTCGTGTTGTGCAGCTGATACTGTGGGTCTTTCTTGTTAACATTGTGGTTAAGCTGGTTCTTATTTCATTCTGATCTGAGCCTTGCCACAGCTTGGGCATGTGAAGCTATGTGCGGAAAAACTGGCTTTCCTAGGAAGTGGGCTGGTGGTAGATGTTTCCATGACAACTTCGCTCATCTTGGGGCTGATCCCTGAGCCTTGTGACATACTCGTGAGGAAAACCACTGGCTACAGAAAGAGCGGAGATAAAATTTACGCACCTCTCGTCAGACCTGAGCCTCCTGTGGTTGGTTGACAGCCTCAAAACTCTACCCCTCTGCATGGGTAACGAGCGGTTAAGAATACAACTTGCAATGTACCGAGTGAGCCAGACATTGCCAGTATAACTGCCCTCATTGGCTCTCTAATATGGATTTATTTCTTACTGCAAAATCCATCTAGTCACTTCCTGCTCAAGTGCTTTGCCGCTCTTCCGTTATTCACTGAGTGGCTAGCCAGTGCAGAATCAATAGCTACTCCCTACAAGCAGCCTGGATTCCTCATAGGCACCAGCCAGGATCTCCACCTAGGGATGCTCTTTCTCACCATCAGCATGCAGTAGTGAATGCTAAAAGGAGCACCGTTTCTTTTGCAGTGTAAGATTAATCTTACCTCTGCGTAAGAGCTTTTTCAAATCTTCATTTAACGTTTGCATTCTCGCTAGTGATCACTGGCATTTGCCTTTGCACTGAGGGGCGGTCAGCCTCTGTAAGCTCATCTGGGACCCGTCTATCAGGGCAGCAGCGTTTCTTGGGTGGAGCTCCTGCTCAGAATGTGTGCTGTGCTTTTCATTTGACTGCAGGTCTTGCTTTGTGCTGTGCAATTCAGAGTGGCTTGGTAGTTGACTAGCAGCCGCTTGAATAGACAGGGGAAAGCTCAGTTGGGGACCAAAGAATGCCCTCTAGATTCTCCAGGGAGCCAGAAAGGGAGTGTGTTTCTTGTAAGGTCTTTTTTTTTAGGACACATTTTGCTTTTGTTTTTAAAGAAAACCTGAAATGCCTTCTGAGTAAATAGGACTGTACATCTTTAAAGCACCGAGAAGGGATGGGAACTGCAGCTGAGAGAGAATTCAGGAACAAGAAGCCACAAAAACGCAACCTGGGTGTGGTATGAGTAATAAACACTTAGCTCTCTGAAGGCTTTGTGGCTGCCACAGTAAGTGTTGGTGGGGAGGGCATGAAGGGTGTGTAGGGACTGTGGGGCGTATGTTTGTGTGTGCATAGGGGTGCTTGGCAATAGAATGGGGCCTAAGCTGCATGACTGAAGCCTTATTACAACTTAAAATAAAATGGTTACTATAGACTTTCCTTGCATGTGCCTTTGCATTTCTCTTGCTGTGAACTGCATGAAAATTGCTTTGTAAACATACACTGCCTAGATCTAAATAAGCCTTTCTGCATCCTAATCTAGAGCACAGTGCTTATACTGCGTTCCTGTGACGCTGCCCTGACATAGAATAGGGAGCCTGGCTTTCCAACCCTGCAGCATGATATTCCGGAGGACCTGTTAACTCTTTGCAGACAGCGCATGTGCAGAAGGCACAGTTGATAAGGATGTTGTTTAGCTCGAATTGGTCATGGGTGTTTCCTTGCCTCCTCTTAGGCTCCTCTCAGTCATTTCCTCCTCTAGCGGCTCAGTGTGTTCAGCGGGAGCTTGCACAGGTGGGTCTGAGATCTAACCAGATATTTGTAAAGAGAGGGCTCAAAATGATGGAAAAAGAATACTGGAAATATTAGACTCTGGTGGGCTGGCCTGGTACTGTAATGGCTGTACAGCAGATCTTGCTTCATTCTCCCTGGCTGGGAGCGATGAGGCTGCACTGTGCTCAGGCCAGGAGAGCAATATTTACCGGAATAGCAGCTGTACACGGGATGTGCATGTGCTCAGGTTGTTGATCAGAAGGTCAGAGCCCATGCGCTTGTGGATAGCAGTGGCTGGAGCACGCCACAGCTTTGAGGAGATGTTAGGCCATACACACTCATGCCTCAGTATGTGATGCAGCAGTCCACAAGGAACATACTGTGTGTTAGGCATGAGTTTACCCTGCAAATATATCCCCCTTTCCTACTTCCAAACAAAGAACTTGAGCAAACCTAACGCTCTCTTCCAATGAAGGCCTGTTGTTAATAATCTTATCTCATGGGGCCACTTGGTAGTTAGCCTGTACTGGGTACATTAAGACAAGAGCAATGGTGTCCGTGTCCTAAATGTTAATATTCCTCCCCTTCCCTTATTGCTGAGTCCTAATGGATTCCGTGCAGTACATTTTATCTAAGGACCCCATCCGTCAATAGCAGGTGAAATTATCTCCAAATGGGACACACTGCCAAGCACACCCTGCTGGTCTGTACTCTCTAAGCTGCTTTTACAACTTCTCTTTGGTTATTTCCCTGCCCCAAAGACTATTTAAGGCCTTGATCCTCCAATCTGATGGGTGCAGGCAAGCTCATAGACCCGGGCAGAGTCCCAGTGAAGTCAGCAGGTTTTTGAAGGGACCCACCCATAGATACTGTTGCAGGTACAGGCCCTTGAATGGTAAAAGTCTTTGGGGCAATGACTGTGCTGCCTTCTCCGTCTGCACAGCACTGAGTAAACTCTAGGTGTTCAACAAGTAAATAACGACGTTTCACTGTGCAGATGGTACTAGACCATAGGGATCCCTGGACGATGGTTTGGGAACCTCTAGGTCAGTCCTATGGGGAGCTCTGTTGTTTTGTGAGAGAAGGAAGGAGCAGGGTGGACAAGGATGGACCTCAAGTGAGAGGTCTAATTCAGCTGCAATATGGAATGAATTCTTTCACTCTTTTGCAGATCTCTACTTTTACTGGGAGCAACTTTGATGATCTGAAGCATCGTCCTACCAGACATGGATACCTCAAAGCCTACGGACAAGAAGCCAGGCCTGTCGCAGAACAGGCTGATCGGTTTGATAGAAACGGATGACAGCATCCAGGAAGGTAGTTCTGCAGCTGGTAAACAGGGAGAAAATAAAGGGGCCAAAGGAGGGAAGGAAAAACCACCCCTGGAGACTCCTTACAAGAAAGAGAGCAGTGACTTTGATCCAAAAATCAGGATTAACTTGAATTATCGACCAGGACTTTCCAGCAAGTAAGTAATTGTGGGATTTGCCCTTGGGAAGCCTTCCATTACTAAGTGAAATTCAAGCTGGTGCCAGAAACTTTGCAAGAGAGTGAAAATGCATTCTTCCTGAGGGGGTGGTACGCAGATGGAGAGGGGTACATACTACCCCTTTCCCCCACACTCGGAGAGGGCACCTCTGTCTGGAACCAGAAGGTGCTGAGGCCAATACAAACAAACAAACAAAAAAAGGGGTTGAGGGAGTTAGCTCTCTTTTTGTTCTTTGATTTGAAAGAGTTTAATTCTTTCTTCTGCCAAACCACCGTGCCCATCGCTCTTCTTACAGCGAAACCATAGCAGCTCCCCCATCACGGGAGACTGGTACATAATCTCTTGTGGAGTGTCTAAAACATGGTTAACTCTTCACATTTCTCCAGTAGCCAAAAGGACCCAAATCGCTTTGATAGAGATCGGCTCTTTGGTGCTGTCTCGAGGGGTAACCCGGAGGAGCTGGATGGTTTGCTTGATTACTTGAGCAGGACCTCTAAATTTCTCTCCGATTCAAGATATACAGGTAGATACAGGCTCAGTACTCTGGTGATTTAACACAGACATGCCTTGATAGTGGCCCGCGTAGCTCAAAGGGTTTGTTGCTCACTTTGAATAAGCACCAAACCAAAAGTCTCTAGGCTCACAGCTCCCCCTGCCCACAATACGCCCTTCCACCAAATCAAAAGTTTGGACTCTGAACCTCTTGCAGCCACAAACAAGAGTTAGTGTGGTCTAGGGCTAGAGCACAGGGGTCTGGGTGCTGCTCCCAGCTCCGCCACTGGCCTTATGTCAGGCAAATCGCTTCCTTTTCCCATGTCTGACTTTCCCCATCTGTGAAATGAAGATAATGATGCTTTTACCCACCTGTGTGCAAAGCACCTTGAGATCTGTGGATGTAAAGTGCTAAGCAGTATGGTTTTTCTAAGCTCTTTGCGTCTAATGCAGGCTGGAAATACTGTGAGAAAGGGATTTTTAATTAATGTATTTAATGCTACATTGACAGTTAAGTTCTGGGCAAGACGAAACTGATGGTGCAGTCATGTACAAAGCACAGTTGTGCCCCTCTCCATGCTGTCTCTCTCTCTACCAGATGCTGAGACGGGTAAGACCTGCTTAATGAAAGCCCTGCTGAATTTAAAAGATGGGACAAATCCCACTATCCCAGTGTTGCTAGAAATAGACCGGAAGACTGAGAATCCAAGGCCACTTGTCAATGCTGCATGCACCAATAGTTACTATGCAGGTAAGGGTTCTCCGGGACTGTGTGTCTGACTTTGAGGTCAATAATCAGCAAGGCAGCGGCTATGGAAAATAATGGGAATTGGATGGATGCATAATTGATAGTATGCTGGAGTTCTTCGTTTGTGGATTGGGTATACCGATGGCCTGAACACAGAAAAGGGAGCTGGGCATTTCTGAGTTCTAATTCTGTCTCTGATACCTACTTCTCTGGCCTTGAGCAATTCACTTAACCTCTCTGTGCCTCAGTTCTCTCATCTGAGAAATGGGGGTAATACTGGCTTATTTACCGAGGATTATGGTGAGGTTCTGTTGTTAAGGTTTGTAAAGTGCTTTGGAGAAGGAAAAAGATTACGTAGTATTGTTCAGTGAAAACAAGTTACATTTAAGAAATGAATGAGTTCTGCCAAGTGGATTTATCCTTTTAATAGCAAATTTTCCAAAGAAACATACCCCTGTGTGCATGTATATTACCTCTATCTTTCTAGATTATTATTACTGCTTCATGGTCAGATCTGAGATCTTATTGTAGCTCTAAGAGAAATTACACCGTTCAGCTCCTCATAGTCTTGGGGGAGTTTGTGTCTGACAGCTCATGTGCTCAGTCTTCAAATTGCATTGCCAACGGTCGCTGTTGCAAAGTCAGCATTTGCCACCAGTTCCCTGCACACAGTATGTCTGGGAGTCCATGATTATTTCACCATATTGACAGTATTGCTGTGGGTGATTTGATACGTTGGTGGGGTTTTCTGGAAAGGCCTTTCCTGCTCCATCTGTCCCTGGCACCATTACAACAAGCTCTGACTGTAATGCCTGTTTCCTTAGGCCAGACTGCACTCCACATTGCCATAGAGAAGAGGCACCTAGATTTAGTGAAACTGCTGGTAGAGAATGGAGCCGACGTCCACGCCAGAGCCCATGGTGAATTTTTCAGGAAGAAGAAAGAAGGAGTGTGTTTTTATTTTGGTAAGCCAGGATTGCAGGCTCCGGCTTGCTATCTGGGAACTCTGCAGTATGTGGAGACACTGTCTCATCCTGGGTTTGCCACTCCATGCATTTGGTGTAATCTCCTCCATTCCATAACCACAGGTGTCCCATCCTACTGGGGTAGCTAAACATCTTCACCAGACTGAGCTCTCCTCTGAACCAGTCGGTGCTTGCCTCCTGCTGTTCAGTTGTGTGCGCTTGTCCCTGTCTAGGGACATGGGACTGCTTCAGACCCCCCACGTGTGTGGACTAAGCCCAAAAATAGATGGAGGGACTGGGTGCAGCCAAAATCTGAGTCTGGCAAAGTGGTCCAGCTGCTCCCAGAAGTAGCGAGGGACTGTTTTTCCGTACCAATTAACTACAAAACATCCAAGCCTGAATACAGAGATTCAGCAAGAAAAAGCCCACCACTGTTACAGTGACAAGACTCTGCAGACTAAGATAAATAAATGTTCTTCCTAAAACTACCTTTTTTTTTTTCAAACCCTGCCTCCATCTTTCCAGGTGAACTTCCCCTCTCCTTGGCTGCCTGCACCAACCAGTTTGATGTGATAAAATACCTCCTTGATAACCCCTATCAGAAAGCCAGGCTCCAGGAACAGGATTCCCTGGGCAACACAGTTCTCCATGCCCTGGTGGTGATCGCAGATGACACCAAGCAGAATACTGAGTTAGTGTGCAAGATGTATGATGAGATCTTAAAGGCAGGCACGGAGATTAACCCAGCAGAGAAGCTCGAGGAGATAGTGAACCGGGCTGGGTTAACGCCACTGAAACTGGCTGCCAAGAAGGGCAAAGTAGAGGTAAACGCCACGAGAGTGATTCTCTGAGCATGGCTAGAAATAGTGAGGACAGTGGAGTGAGTCCCCTGCCTAGAGGCTGGGTCTGATGTACGTGCATCCTACGTTACTGCACATGAGACTCTCCAGCAGTGCCACTGCAGGAGGCATGAAGAAACCCTCTTCCAGACCCTCGCGTTAGGAGCTGTGCTGATGTGATCACAGCTGGGAGCTCCTGGGCTGGGTTGAGAGTTGTTACTCCTTTGACAGAGCTTGTAGAAGCTGTGCTTAGTTTGCCTCAAGTTCTTGGCCAGATCGTATATATGACCAAGAACATATCTGCACAGTGTATGCAGGAAGCAGGGTTACAGGTTTGAAGACAACTCAGGTACGCTGGGAATTTCATTTTACATCCTAATGTATAATTAGTATAATACACATAAACTTTCCCTTCAGATCTTCAGACACATTCTCCAAAGAGAGATCAAGGATCCAGAGTGCCGGCACCTGTCTCGCAAATTCACTGAATGGACCTATGGACCCGTCCATGTATCTCTCTATGACTTGTCCTCTGTAGATAGTTATGAGAAAAACTCTGTGCTGGAGATCCTTGCTGAGAGCAGTGACACACCAGTGAGTCCCGAGAACTTATTTAAAATCAAATACAGAATGGCTTTGTCCAGCTTTTTATAGTGTTGCCGTAAATCATGTAGATTTATTTGGCATTTCAGATTGTTTTATTTTAGGGAAATAAAATGTTTGAATTGGTTCATTATTAATGATGAGGACTTTACATATATGGTTAACATTATTAAACCCCTTCAGATTTGTTGCTAATCTGCAGTAAGGAAGGAGTTTGAGACATTTATATTCTGTTCCCTGACGTGGAGCAGTGACTTAGCCTGGATCTCTCCAAATGCAGGGCTATAGGACGCAGGCAGAATCCAAGTCCAATAGGATGCCAGGGTCCTTTCATTCTGAGAGGTCTGATGAAATAGACATGCAGGGCTTCTGGCCACTGAATTCCAACACTGGGTCAAGAAGGCTTTATGGTGATTCTGGATCTCTGACGACGTGTTATTTTTCCTTCCTCTCACCCTAGAATCGATACAAGATGGTGGTTTTGGAGCCGCTGAACAAACTGCTTCAGCACAAATGGGACTCATTTGCTGCCAGGAGATTTTACTTAAGTTTTTTCTGTTATTTTATATTCATGGCCATCTTCACGGTCCTTGCTTACCATCGTCCCCTGCAGTTACAGGTAGGGCTGGCTTACTTGGATGGGGTGGAGTGAGCTTGAATGCTGGGGCTGTGGTTTAAGGGGTTTAAAGGGCTTTGGGTGGCTACAAAGCTGCTGTCTTCATATTCTTGTTTTTATCTTGCAGTCTCCATTTCGAGCAGAGTTCACAGCTATCGGCTTCTTGCAGCTCACTGGACAAATCATTGTTTTCCTGGGAGGCTTTTATCTCATCATTGCTCAGGTACAAAGATCTCTAACCTATCTGCTCTGAAATAAAACAGCCATCCCCATGGCATTGGTACACCACTCTTCTTTATTTCCATAATACCATAAATGTGCACGAAGCTGCACAGAGAAATGGAAGGAGAGGTTCTTGCCATCACGTGCTTGCAATACAAGCAGGATATAGCAAGCAAAGGATGACAGAAAGGGAGGATTAGTAAGATGGGCACAATGTAAAAGATCACAAGAGGGGTTTTGTGTTATACAATAGTAAATATACATTAATTATTGGAGACACTGTATTAAAAAGACACATACAAGATCTGTGGCTCAGTTACTGTTTCTTTATTGGCTCTTTGTTACCAGGAGCCCTTTTCCATCACAGAAGAGGGATGGTCTGAATTTTTCTATCATTGGAGCAAATGATATAAATAAAAAGGCTCTGAAGAAACCATTCGCTATGCAGTAGATTATCCCAGCAGAGATTGGATTCAGATGTGTCTTGCTGCGTTAACAAACTGTCCCTGTTGATTTCTCTCTTTTCTGATAGATTCTTTACTTCTTGAGGAGATGGCGGAACCTGAAGAATGTGTTCTCTGATGGCTGCATTGAGGTCTTTCTGTACGTGGGAAATGAAAGTTAATGTGAAATCAAACCTTTGTTAAGAGGCAGCTGAACTGGCACGAGGTAGCTAGGCGGGTGGTGAGCAGAAATGACCCATTCTCTCACACAGCGTGCTTGTTCTGCTGTTACGTCATCTTTCCAACCAACTCTTGGCTGGTTTCTTCCACCAGTTGCCTCTTGTCATAATCCTAGATTGTGAGCTCTCTGGGTCAGGGACTGTCTTTCTCTTTTGTTCATTTGAACCCTGCCTGGTGCAATAGAGCCTTGACCCTTGGTTGGGGCATCTAGGTGCTACTGTAATACAGATGATAATAACATGAACTTTTTCTTCGAGTGCTTGCTCATATCTATTCCAGTTAGGTGTACACGCCGTGTGCACGGATGTCGGAAACTTTTTCCCTAGCAGCTACCCGTCGGGCTGGCTGTGGAGCTCCCTGGAGTGGCACTGATATAGTGCTCTATATATGACCCTGCCGGCCCAACCCCCCTTCAGTTCCTTCTTGCCGGCTACTCCGACAGAGGGGACGGTGGCGGGGGGGGGGGGGAATGGAATAGATATGAGCAACACATCTCGAAGAACAACAGTTACAGAAAGGTGAGTAACCGTTTTTTATATGTGGAATTGCTCATTTAGTGACTGGGATTTGGCCAGGTGGCCAAGTGAACAGAGCACTGGACTGGGATTCAGGAGACTTGGGGTCCATTTCTGGCTCCACCAGTGGCTCCCATTGAAGTCATGGCCTTGGGCATGTCATTTAATCTTCCTGTGCCTCGGTTTCCCAGTCTGTACAATGGGGATAATACACTGACCTCCATTTGTAACGCACATTGAGATCAATGGTTGAAGAGCACTATGTGAGAGCGAGGTGTTTTTGTTAAGGAGAAGAGACTTTATAATTTGTGTGTGTGTGTATTTCTATATGTGATGGGTCTGATTCTCTCCATTTTTATACCAGTTACACGTGTGTAACTCCACTGAAATCAGGCCTGGTGTATGTGAATGTATCTGGTGGAAAAGAGATGAGAGTCAGGCCCAGTATCTCTGAGATTTTTCCATAATGTGAACTTCGCTAACGTCTAACGAATCTGCAATATATTTGTGCAGAAAGTAGGTTGCAGATGGATTTAGATACTAACTCACCTATAACTACAGGGTCTGATTAGCTGCCACTTTATACCCCATTGGGTAACCCTGCAAGATGCAGCTGGCTGTGCCCAGTGTGACACAAAAAGGATTTGGCATTGAGACTTTCAGCTCACTGTGTGACTATGATTGTTTCCTCCCCTTCCCCCAGGTTGCTCCAGGCATTCTCGCTGCTGCTTTCAGCTGTGCTGTATATTGTGGGTTCAGAAGACTATGTGCCGACGATGGTATTCTCCTTACTGCTGGGATGGGTGAACATGCTGTACTACACTCGGGGCTTCCAGTGGACTGGGATCTATTGTGTCATGATACAGAAGGTCAGTATGGAGAAACAGCCTGTAAGAGATGCTCAGGGACATGAGGCATTGTCCAAATGCTGCAGTTACTGTTCTCCTGTCAGGACCATCAGTCCAGGCTGTGGACCCTGAAATTCCATGCCGTTTGAGTAAATGTATTTTCTTGGGGGAGGTGGAATGCTGCACGAGGCAGACCACTGGCTCAGTTTGCAGCAGGTTTTCAAATACTGGCTCAAGTCACAAGAAAAAATGAGTTTGTTGGGACTCATCCTGGTCCCCCACAGTAGCCTGTCACAAAAAAAATCCCCCCAAACCAAAACACAACACCAAACAGAGTGGCAGTCTGTTCAGGAGATGTTTCCTAGCATTGGAAAGTCTGGATTGAGGCATATAAACAGATTTGTGTATGGTGCTCAGGATTGGAGAAGCATGTCAGAGATGAGGTAAGGAAACTGTTTCTGTGCTTGTTTCATTTAAATTAAGATAGTTAAAAGCAGCATTTTTCTTCTGTATAGTAAAGTTTCAAAGCTGTATTAAGTCAATGTTCAGTTGTAAACGTTTGAAAGAACCACCATAATGTTTTGTTCAGTTACAAACATTTCAGGGGTATGAACAGTTCCATTCCCGAGGTGTTCGTAACTCTGAGGTTCCACTGTATGTCATATTCAACCTTTGAAAACAGCAGGGTCTGAAGGAAAGAACTTAGGGCTGGGAGCCAGGAACTCCTGAGTTCTGAGCTCAACACTGCTACCCAATTGCTGTGTGACCTTGAGCAAGTCTCTCAGCCTTTTATATCTGCACTTCCTCTGTGATGCTTTCTCGGGGCACTCAGGACTGAGAGTCATCTTGTTACCCCTGCCTCAGGGGGAGAAAAACTTGCTGCTGCTAAACTGGGTGCCAGCTCCCTGACACCCCAGTCTATTAGACACCCAAACAATCTGCCCAGAACTCTGCCAGCCTTTACTCTGCATTGCAGATAACAGTCCCCGAACACCTCAGAAGAGTCTCCCTGTGGTGTCCAGCCCCTTTCACTGGACATTCACAGTAATTACCAAGACCACTGCCTCCAGAGAGACCACATATCCCTCAGCTTGCTTGGGTCAGCCGAGGATGCACTCTTTACTTAATATCACAGTCTTGAGATGAATTTATAATAAAAAGAAAAAGTGTATTTACAAAGAACAGAGAATCACAGTTTCAAGTGAGCAAGAATTATGGAAATAGAGATGGTTATAATAAATCAGAAGCATAACATGCATCTAAGAAACTAATCATAACCTTGACAGGCTACTCTCCTGTATCTCAAAACATTTCTGCCCTCAAAGATCTTATGCAGAGCTTGCTGATCTTCATTCAGTTCAGGATCCAGGTTGTTGTGAACCACCCCCTTCCTCCAAGGATGTTCCTAAGTGAAAGTTTGTCATTGTTTCTAGAGGCAGGAAAACCCCTGGTGCTCAGAGTCCTGTGTGCTCTCCCCTGTTGGTTTCACTCCCCCCCTGCCCCATCAAATTGTTGTCTTCATATGCAAATAGCGCTTCCTGTGTGTTGGTTTCAAAATGATTAATTTAGATTAGAGACAGGGTGGATAGGCTGTTCTAGGTCGCTTTGTCTGGTGAAAGATGCTTATCAACCCTGCCTGGAACACAGATTCTAAAAATATTTTCTGTATATACATACAACTTTTAAAATAACACCCATACTTGCATTTCTCAATGCTTATGACAACCAGTATGGCGTAAGCTTTCCTTTGGTCCCTCACAACATTCTTTATAGATAAATATGATGACAGCAATGAGTTAGGTGTACTGAGTTTGTCAGGCCTGATAGGCGTTGGTGACTCAGAGCAGTGAACCACCAGTGGGCCTCTGTATCCCATCCTCATCTATTGAATGGGAGTAATAATACTTCCTGACCTGCCTCCCTTGCGAGGGACTGTGGGGATTAATGAGTTAATGTTGCCAGAACTGATGCAGAGCCAAATATCATTATTTGATAGGTGTGCTAGTTTCCTGTTGTCCTGGTGATTTTGTGATGTATAAACATCATGTAAGGTTATTGGTGATTAATAACACTGCCTTTTGCTCTCTCCCCAGACTATCCTGAGGGACCTGCTACGCTTCCTCGTGGTTTACGTGATCTTCCTCTTTGGCTTTGCGGCAGGTGAGGATTGACTCAGCACCGTGTTACAGGCAGACCTGCCAGGAGGGAGACTTGCTAAGGAAGATTCATTGTTCTGCTTTTGTTACAGCTCTGGTCACCCTCACAGGGGATGCCCCTCCGGCTTCCCAGAACAAGTCTGTTACCCCAGAGGACGGCGCTAAAGACCACGTTGTGTACAGTGGGCTGCTGAGCACTTCCTTGCAGCTCTTCAAGTTCACCATTGGCATGGGGGACCTGGAGTTCCAGGAGCATGTGAAATTCAAATACTTCGTCATGCTGCTGCTGCTGCTGTTTGTGATCCTGACCTACATCCTCCTGCTCAACATGCTGATCGCCCTCATGAGCGAGACTGTCACCAATGTCTCTGGTTACAGCAAGAGCGTCTGGAAGCTGCAGGTAAGTCTGTTGCGCCGCTCACCTGGTCTCCAATATAGGCCTTATAACATATTATGCGCTAAATGTGGGCCCGTGGGAGCCATTCACAGCAAATTCTCTCCCGCTGTGCATGCACTGGGATATAAGATTTGACGTTTTTGCTGAGCTCTAAGGTTTTATTTAAAGTAGTAAAAGTGTAATGAGATCTTTCTCTCTCCACATTTCTATAGTACCCATCACCTTAGTATCTCAAGTGCTGAGATATGTGCCTTCCAGATCTACTTGTAAAGACTGTGACCTCCTTAATGGATGGGACGGTACATTTTAAGTGGTGCTTTGTCACTTCCCTGCCTCTGGGAGGGAAGAGGAAGTAATGCTGCGCAGGTGGTGCTTGTTGAGGGAAATTAACAGCTGAGTTTACTGGGAGATTTATTCCAACTCCTCAACCTGGGAGAGCTGATTCTGGTCTTCCAGATGCTCCATGCAAGCAAGCTCTCCTCGCAGATTGAGTGGCAGCACCTTCAGCCAATAAACACTGGCTAAAACCCCACAGCATCACAACACTTTCATTGGTTGAGCATACCCTGGGAGCAAAACCATGTTAGGAGACAGATGTTTAACCCTTTTGCAGGTGTCATGCTTTTGTTACTGGAGATGTTTCTGTTCTCGTATGTAGGGCTCTGTTAAGATTTGTCTATGTTTTATACCTTCTGTTGGCTTACCCTGGTTTGGAGGAATTTCTAATGTGGTTAGCAGCTCCTTCCATGACTGCTTGGTCATTGCCTGAACTAAGGGAGACCTTGTAAGGTGACAGTAGGCAGCACAGGCTGTGCTTAGTCAGTCTGGGAGCTAGAGAGAACTACAGGATCTGTCAGAGTCCAAAATCCCCTTTTATACTGATGGCAGCCCAGTCCTATCTTTTTCTCTATCTAGAAAATTACAGAGTTTAAAGTAATTTCTTAAGCCCACAGGCCTAGGAGACTTTAGGGTATTTCCTGACAGCAGTAACAGAGCCAAGGAACATTCACAAAAGTGCCTTTCCAAGTCACAATACTTGGTGGATGGGGAAGACTTGATCGGAACTTAGGCTAGCTCAGCACCTGGGTTGTGGCTGCACCAGTTCCGCTCTAACATGGACTTGTATCCTCAGAGAGCCATTGCCATTCTGGAAATAGAGAAGTCCTGGCTGTGGTGCCCAAGAAGGAGGCAGAGATCTGGCTGCTTCTTGTCTGTGAGCCTTGATGATAAGAAAGATATGAGATGGTGTTTCAGGTAAGATAGAAAGTGGAGGCAGCTTCCCACATTCTGAATTCTGTGTCTGCGTGCTGGCATTATGTGTGAATGGGGGAGCCTGGTTTGTTCATGCATATATATATGAGAAAGGCACCTATGGATACTCGATTATCTAGGAGTGAGTAGGGTAATATCTTGATTTCCCCCCCCCCGTCTCATATGTGTGTGTGTGTGTATGTATATATATATATATGTGTGTGTGTGTGTGTGTGTGTGTGTGTATATGAGAGATGGGGGTGGAGGGGAATCAAGACATTACCCTACTCACTCCTAGATAATCGAGTATCTGTAGGTGCATTTCTCATGCTTCCCCATCACCTTTGTATCTAGGCATCATGTAGTGCTGGTACTTCTACTGCCTTGTGTTACAGCCACGAGACTGTCATTCTCTCTTCCACTGCCCCTTTCTCCTGGAATGGGGCCCTTTGACCTGCAAGCTTGATCCTGAAAGGAAAGCAGCTGAACTCAGTCTGAGGGTACGTCTACACTTACCAGAGGGTCCGACGGCAGGCAATCGATGTTCTGGGATCGATCCCGGAAGTGCTCGCCGTCGACGCCGGTACTCCAGCTCGGCGAGAGGAGTACGCGGCATCGATGGGGGAGCCTTCCTGCCGCGTCTGGACCCGCGGTAAGTTCGGACTAAGATACTTCGAATTCAGCTACGTTATTAACGTAGCTGAATTTGCGTACCTTAGTTCGAAGTGGGGGGGTAGTGTGGACCAGGTCTGAGTGGTTTCAGTCAGTTGCAGCACACAGCAGTGGAATTACCGAATCAAAGTCCCCATGGCCTTGTCTACGCTAGTACTGTACTATTCCCAGCATTGGTTTTGGATGCATGCAACTCCACTGATGTTAGCAATGCTGGATGCTGTGGTGTAATCAAGCCTCAGCCATTTTACTGACGTGTCATCTTGCGCTGCTCTGAGAAGGTAAAAATGCTGGCAGCTCATCTACACTTGCGCTTTCACCCTTGCTACCAATGGTGGAGCTGTCCCGGTGCTAGACCACCTGTGGGAAGAGCATTAATGTCGACACACCCTCAGGCTACGTCTTCACTACAGGGGGGGTGTCTATTTAAGATACGCAAATTCAGCTACGCGAATTGCGTAGCTGAATTCGACGTATCGCAGCCGACTTACCCCGCTGTAGGGATGGTGGCAAAATCGACCTCTGCGGCTTCCTGTCGACGGTGCTTAGTCCCACCTTCGCTGGTGGAGTAAGAGCGTCGATTCGGGGATCGATTGTCGCGTCCCAATCGGACGCGATAAATCGATCCCCGAGAGGTCGATTTCTACCCGCCGATTCAGGCGGGTAGTGTAGACCTAGCCTCAGTTTCCTGGCTGTGTGAATGCTGCTTGATAACACCTCTGCAACCTGCTAAGTGAACCACAAAGTGGCAGAACTCCCTTTGTTCATGTAAAGTGTGGGAGACTGGGACTTGGAATATCCCTTATCCTCATTCAACAGAGGGAGCCAAATCCAGAGCGCTCTGATAATGACACCAGGACCTTATGGATTGCATTGTGTTACTCCATGTGTAGAGACTTTTTGCTGCAGGAAAACTCCTTTAGTTAAGTATGTCCCCTTTCAAGGCACTGGGGTGTTATTATTTAAACACCGGCACTGTTCACAACACAGAGGAAGATACAGAACTAACGCACTCCACAGGGCTTACTAGCTAAATAAGAACTCCCTTGGCAACAAAGCCTTTTGTGGTACAGCCACTGCTGCTGCCGCCAAGTCATTAGTGCTGTGCTGATGAGACCACCATCCATCAGAATGGATGCCACTGAGATGCCAGAGATGCAGCCTTGGTACGCAGCTGTATGATCAGAATGTTTTGCCCCCATGCCTCATTGTCTACTGGCTGATGGGGGAAATTGTTCTATTTTCTGTCTTCAGAGTGGAGGAGATTAACTGGGCCAACTGGGAAAAGGAGCTGGGAGTCATCAAGGAGGATCCTGGGAACTCCAGAGACTTGGAAATAGAATCCCTAGGTAAGACATCCCAGGGCTGAGCAGAGGATGTCAGCCCCTTTTCTACTATCTGCTGGGCAAATGCTTTGTGCACTTTGCCTGTTATCTCTTTGGTGGACTCTGTGTGCCAGAAATTCCAGGTGGGTTTGCCCTCACCTCACCCCCAATACCTCCAGTGAAACTGCTGTCTATCAAGTGTCCTGTAGCTAGGGCACCTTCATTTGTGATCTGGTCAGCGCGCACAATCTAAGTAGATTTGGGTCTGTTCAGTACGTGAATAGGGGACGCCTTAAGAAAAATAATGTTCTGTAGTAAACGCTGTTGAGGATTCAGTTAAGTGCCTTCAAGTCCAAACTAAACCAATGACCCAGGTGTTTCCCTTTATAGGAAATGTAAAACTAAGGTTCAGACCCAGGGTGTTGCTAAAGGTCCCAGGGCACATTCAGCAAGAGTCTGGGTTTTCACCTTGGCATTGTGGCCAAATTCTAACTTGTAGAATCACATGCTACTTGCCTCTGCACTTTCAAGTGGATACAGTCGCCTCCCCACCTCCTGTCCTAAGCTGTGGTGCAGCGTTACTGTGCATGGGTAAGCAGCCCTACACTGAAAACAGAGATTTGTTCCTTTCAGTTAAAATATATTGTTTGCTAAATCTGCCAGATCTTGTGTAGGAGCCTGATCAGGATTAACCCGACCCTTTCACTGTTCCATCTTTGTTTGGTCTCCAGCTGCTGGCCTAGAGGGAGTGGGATGGGGAGGTTTACAGCACTTCAAAAATGCCTCAAATAGAATTGTTTTAGTTTTCTGTAAATCTGCAATAGCCCCAGGACCGGCTCAATACCCTCCTCCTTGCCTTTGTCATCTCCCTGCTAACTAAGGGCCACCATTGTTCTGTCTCCTGTTACAGTGAAGAGAGTGCGGGACAGGATGTCACGGGGGCAAGCAAACTCAGCAGCACTGGAGGAGCAGTTGCCGTTACAACCATTAGCCAGTGACTGAGATGAGGCCACTAGAAGAGGACAAACCAAGAGACTGTAGCATGTTCTCAGCATTGGAATCCTGTTGTTGCTCCCATTCCAATGAATTCTTCATTCTGTGGTGCCACTAATATTGAGATGGAAAAGTAATCAGTATTAACATGTCTCATCAAAGACTGTTTCAGTCTTTTGCTTGTATGCATACAAAGTATTTCCTTTGAAGAAATCATTTCTGTTCAACTTCTTCTGCCTGATACTTTCTTCCTACAATGCTTAAAAAGAGGATGTGTGTGTGAGAGAGAGATTGGGGGTGTGTATCCTGGATGGGCTGGCTTTGTAATCTAAGCCTCAGGTTTGAAATTTCTCTCTGGAAGCCTGGGTTAAAATTTCAGCTGGATCAATTTAGCCCTTCATGCTGGTGTGACAGAAAAATTTAGTTCCATGCAGCTGTGTGTGTAGATCTTTTGGATGATACTTTTCCAAGCACAAGCCCTGTCTGCTGTGTGCTGACAGGATAAGATACCATGTACTTTTTATGAGAACAGAAGTTTGTTCTAGTGTTTGTGGCCAAAAATATTTTCCCTTCTGCACTGTTATCCTCAGTCCCATATTTGACTGCATTTCAGGCAATCTACCTGGGAAGTGCTTTGGAATTAAAGGTGCATAAAGCGTTGTTCAAAGTTTCTGACTGCATGACGTTGGCTTGTATGCAAGACAGTGTGTGTCACTTAGGGAGGTATGTTAAGAGGTATTCAAGCTGAAACATTAAGCTCAGTGCAACAGCTTCTATCAGCAACGGTGGCAAATCTAGGCATTTTGACAGTCTCAAAACCACTGACCTATATCTGAATTGAAGGTGGCAAAATCACTTGAAAGTTGTCTGCTTTGCTAGAGCTGCCCTAAAAGCTGTTTCTTATTAAAACTGTGATTTAGAAATGAAAATTTATATGACATCCCTTCCCCACAGATGTGCTCTTCTTCAAACGAGAGCAGCTGAGCACTGCATATCAGAGCTTCTTGAAGATGCAGGGGTTAATGCAACCTGTGCCATTTTCACCCTTCTTAAACAACTTCCTGTTTGGTCTTAGTGGGCTTCTGTCATGCTCCAAATGGTTGCTAAGATTATGTTGATTTTCACATGCTGACCACCTCAGACAGGGAGAGAAGCCTGCTGTGAAATTTTGCTGGAAAGCAGGAAGAGAAATAATGTCTCAGTTTAGTCCTCTGTATAAAAAAAGTGTCAGCTTGAAAAACTTTCCATACGGTATCAAGTGCACCAGGGGCGTTTCACTGAAAGAGTTTGTCTCAGGGGTTTCTAGAGCTCCACGTACACACTACCTGGAGCGGGAGACCCAGGAGTGGAGGAGCACAAGGGATGATGTGCTCCGAGTCAGGGTTGGAGTGTGTTGGCAGAGTTGGGCGCAGCCCCTGCTTGCCCTAGGCCGGGCTCAAACCAGTGCTATCGGACCCTCATTTTCCTGAGCACTGAAATGTGACAGAGGGTGACCTCCAGCCAATTCCTGCATCCACTTCTGAAATTGTAAATGCATCATCTTGGTTTCCAATGCGTCTTTGATCAGAGGGAACAGCCAGAGGCAGTGCTCAAAGAAGCATTTTAATACTAAAATGTTGGGGAAAGTGAGTACGCACTATGGCAGATTCGGCAAAGCAAGACCTGCTGTTTCAGATCTCTGCCTGGAGGCGGAACAGGGAAACCAGGCAAGTTGTCATACAGAGATGAATCGACCCTCAGTCCTTTTGCTGAAGTGATACTGTCATGGATTGATTCCTTTCCCTCCTTCCCCACCCTGGTGGTATGTGACTGTCTGGTGTTCTTACCACCTTCTCAGCTGACTCTCCCTGCTAAATCTGACCCCTGCTCTAGCTGCTAGATCACACTTCCCCGGGCATCACTGTCTGCTGCCTCTTACGGGTGAATGTGGCAAATCACTTGAAAGTTGTATGCATTGCTAGCGGCAGCACTAAGGGCAAGAAGCTGTAGCAGGATTTCCTGGTGCTGGGAAAAGCTCTGTTTCCTTAGTTCCTGTCTCCCCATGGAGCCCTGGAGCTGGAAAGGCAGGTCCATGCAGAATCTTAAATGTTTTACACATTCATTTATTTTATTGATGCTTCACATTTTACAAGTTGAGCTCTTAGTCGGAGGAAGCCAAAGGTGTATCTGTCACACCAGCAGGATTAACGTCCTCTGTAAACAAAGCAATAACCAACAATAAGCTGGGGTGGAGAGCTCTCTTTTCTAAGGGAATCTGCTTCCAACGCCTTCTGGAGAACACCAGAGCAAGAAATTATTAGGAGCTACAGTTATCCTAATTCTGAGTCCGAGCAAGTTTCATCATTTAACCTCCCACCCTGAAATCTTCTGAGGCAAAAAGAAATCAGTAAATCACTAAGGAAAAACTGTGAAGGGGGAGAGAAATGGATCTTCAGTTCTCCTTTCAGGAGGTCAGAGTGCTGTAGGATTGGCTTTTCTTATGTAGAGCCTAAGAGAGCTCCCCCAACTCTTACTAAACGTACTGACTATTCTCTGGTTTGTGGCTAGCAGAAGGAGGCTTTGAAACCCAAGCCAAGGGGCTCTCAGCCCCTGAGAGAAAGAGAAGCTTTGAAAAGCTAGATGCTGCAGCCAAGTCTGCACAAGCTGCAGGGAGTTAGTTCTGCACCAATTCAGCTTGCAGACCTCTGATGCAAGTTGTTTCGTGACTAGCAGTGAGCTTTGCAACCATCGGGAATACAATTATATTCTAGAAAAGGTTGGGTTTTTTTAAATGTTTCCTCTGGAGCTTTTAAAAACTCTTAATTTCTGAGAAGGCTTCAGACCTGCTGACTGTCTGAGTCACAGTGTGGCCAGACAGACAAGGATAGTGTGTGTGTGAGACTATCACGCCCACTAACTAACACATGCTTCACGTTCTCTTCTGATGTAAATTCTTCTCTGCAAAAGGAGCAGGCAAATATCTGTGAAATTGGAATAATGCTGCCTCTCTTTGCCACGAAGCTTAGTTGTTGAACATTTATAAAGCACTTTGTGATCCTTTGGGGTATGGGAGCTAAGAAAGGGCAAGGTAATAATATTCTAACCTCCTTTGGTATTGGGTACGTTTTTCTCTCCCAAGAATGTTGGGCATAATAAACACAGAAGCTGCAAGCTGGGGAAGACCAGGCTGTTTCTAGAAATGCTCCCTCTACTTCCCTGCCTTTCTGAGTGATTTCAGATGTAATGGAACTTCTCTAGCCCCTGAGCATTGCCAGTCTGTGGGGAAACCAGTTCTCTGCCAACATGAACCAGTTACTTGCGGCTATTTCTGTGCAGCTGGAATCCAGTCACAAAATAGGTCAGAGCAGTGCGCCGGGCAGGCGAGACAGGGCAAGCCCCCGTGCCCTGACCCCATTTCCCTAGCAGGAGCACTGGGAGGGGGAGTGGGAGGGACCGCAGGTGGAAGGGGTGGGGAGGGGCCTCCACTTGCTCTGGCCCAGGGTCCCACAAACTCCTAATCCGCCTCTGGGTCAGAGTAGAATGCAGCACGGGTATTTAATGAACACATACTGACCCTTCTGACTCCTAGGCCTTGCCCCTATGAAATGTGGTACAGACACCCCAAAACGGGGGACACTGGGAGCAAAGGATTGGCAGCACAGGGGGTGGAAGTGATAAGGTTTCCTTTTGTGTGCCCTACATTTTCAGTAAACTTCCCTTTCAAGAGCCAACATTTCTGATACTAACAATGTTCTAACCAGGGAGAGAGAAGCAGCGTTGTGTGGGAAAGAGGAAAACCTGGGTCTAGAGTGAGCGATGTCTGTCATGAGGCACATCTGAAAGGTGACGTACCTTTTAAATCCCTACTTGAGTGTGTTGAAGTTTATTCCACTCTGTTACCAGGATATTTCCATAGGATGATGACACCTCCAGGTAGCTAGCATGGAAAGTGAAGATGGATAGTGCGAATACCTCACTTAGCAGCTTTCAAAGGTAACCCCCAAGGATACCCTGGTGATGGCTACAGATAGACAGATAGAGGCACTGGTAAAAATGGTCTGTCTGTAGTTTGTCATCTCTATATTTAAATGTAATTTTGCTAGCGTACGCACTGAAACCTCAACTAGGAAATCCACAAAAGACTTGCTTAACCTGTGTCTCAGCAACCAGCAGTCCTGAGAGAGTCATCTGCAGGCAGAGTGCAGATATTGTATCTACAGTCCTGCATCGTTCATGTGAAAGCCAGGAACAGAGTTATGAGGTCCCTTCCATGCCTTCTCTTTTTAATAAGTAAGTGAATTTTATTTATTTTCTGCCCACCTACATTAGAAAACATAAGTCTTGGACTGTGAAAAGAAAGTTGTGAATTTGAGGACTCAAGGTGGTCACTTAATCTAACCAAGTAAAGTGCTTTATGCCTGCAGTGTATTTTGGAAGTTTCAAGGTTTCAGCACTTGTTGTAGATACACTGTATAAAAGTTCTCGTTGCAAAATGATTGGTTTTCTAGTATTTCAGCATGATCAGCAAATGGTAGGGGTGGGGATGGGGGTGGGTATTTCAGTGTCTTGTAGTTCTTGCAATTCTCTAGAAAAAGTTCATGTTAGTGAAACCCACTGGGCTCAGCTGTATTAAGGGGACAGACAGGTAGGTGCTCAGATACTATAGTGGTGAGGATCATATAAGTGCCTGGGTATACAGATAGACTGCCCTATATAATCATGATGAATCAACTGAGAACATTCTGCTCTCATTTACATAGGTAAAAAGCTATATTTAGTCAGTGAGGTTACTGTCTTTACACTGTTGTAATGGAGAGCCGAGTGTGGACCAATGTCTTTATGTCCATCAGCTCCCCCTTTTATAAGCATCCTTAGGGATACATGTCCATGCACCAATCAGGGAATGCATTCAGAAATTCATTGCCCATGGAGGTTTGACTGGCTGAACTCTGATCAAGTGTTCTGAACTTAGTATTTAGGATAAAAAGAGAACCTCTTTCTCAGCCCTTTATTTGGAAATAAGAATTGATAATATAACTAGGAGGCAGATATTAATTAGAAAATTCACTCTGAAATTCTAGAAGTAAGAAGTTAAATATAAATGAGGACAAATAGCTGTTTAAAAACCTACGGACTTCTGACATTTGTCAGTACTTCAGAGAAGCCACATAACATCATTGTTATAGAGACCGTTATAAGACCCTGTTTTCAGTTGATTATAACTTTTGCCAAACTTTAACCGTTCAGGTTGAAATTTTCCATGCGAGGCTGGTGATTTATTTTGGGAAAGTTTCAATAAAACTTGTTCAGTCATTTCTGAGAATGAAATTAGTGACAAATATGGCGTTTTGCTCAGCTTAGAGAATTCTTACAACCATTTAGTTGAGTGCCTCTATGTTTTGGAGCAGGGACTTGAAATTTGTGAGTGGAGGTCAAAGATATGCTGTTTGCCATCCCTGTGAAAATTCTCCCAAATTTGGCCAAGCAACAAGCCTCTGAAAAATCACAGTTTGCACATACTCTTTAGAGACTTGCTGCCGTTTGTCAGCTAAATTCTCTGAAGATTGCATTTGCATTAATCCTGCTTCATCACTATGCAGTTCCTCTGTGCTGAATGGACTGCACGTGCCCTATCTGCATAGAGCAGTGGCTTTCAACCTTTTTTCATTTACATTTTTTTTTTGAATGGAGGTGCAGACCACTTTGGAAAGCTTAGACACAGTCTGCGGACTGCCAGGGGTCTGCAGACCACAGGTTGAAAACCACTGGCAGAGAGCAATTGAGGATGCTTCATTTCCAGGCTGCTCCTTGCAGCTACTCCCACAGGAGCTCGGAGCTCTTTTGTCACTAAGCACCAGAAGTGAGACCCAGGAGACTGTCTCCTGTGTTTTCCATGCACCCAAGCAGCTTGGAGGAGAAGGTGGAATCAGCCTGACTCCCATGAAGCAACGAAGGAGGGGATAAGAGGGGAGGGAGTAGCAACCTTAATTCAGCCCCCTTCTGCATATGTATTTTGTTACAATCTTGACGTGATCATATACAATTTCCTCCACAAGACCCCTGCCTTATTCAGTGCACTGGCTGGACAATGCTCTGGGGATGAATCAGGGTTGTGTAGGAGACTGTTGTCTATAGAACCCCTTCCTCATCTGTGGCAGAAGTTGGAAGGTGTGTAGTGAATGAGGCAGGAGAATGCAGGAAGAGAGAGAATGGTCACATGGTTAAGGCAGTTGAATACTGCCCTGGAAAACTGGACTGGCCACTTGTGTTCCTTATTTTATGGGTGCTCAATTTGAGACTGTGTGATTTGATTTGCAGAAGCACTGGTCACACACAGCTGCAACTGAAGTTGTTTAGAGGAAGGCTTTGAACATATAAAGCACTATAAAAATGCTAAACGCACTGAGAAATCAGGCCCAGGGCATCTCGTGTTAGGCACACAAAATTAGTGGACATTGACAATTTTGGCTTTAATCTCTCTGTGCTTCAATTCCCCATTAATAAAATAGGGCTAATCCTACCACTGCACCTCACAGGTGCGTGAAGATAAATTCACGGATGTTTGTGAAGCACTCAGATAGCACAGTGAGGATACCTTAGAAGAGTCCACGAGGAAATAAATAATTTGCAGGCTTTGGCTGGTGTGTGGTGAATAAGTCTTGAGGCCACACCCTGAAGGATGAGGATAAAAAGAAATATTGCCCAGCTACCCACAGAGTGAGCATCC